AAAAGAACCAGAACGGACTGAATACATACGCACAGACCTTTAAAAGAACAAAAACAAGAGCAGGACATTAAAGGCTTTTTGGTGGGTTTTCACGGGAAGGCCTGTCCTGCTGACCGATGGAGATCCACTGCAAACACGACCCGTTCGCAGCGATGCACAGTAAGTTCACGGCAGACTTTCACTGCTGTCAAATCTTTGATTTCTTTCAAAGCTCTCAGAACATTCTTTTTCAGAATTAGAATATCTCAAATATACTCGGATTAAAGCTAATGAAAGCAAAGCGCTGTGTGTAGCCTACTATAGCTGGTCAACTTTAAAAAGGCAACTAAAAGACGGTCTCTTAAATAAAGGTGAAGTTTTTGCTGTTTGGGCCAATTATTTTGGGAGTTTTCTCTTAATTAAAGACCGGGTTGCTTTGTTAGAGCTTCAGCCTTCTGTTTGACAATCCCTGGGGGGAAGAGAGGGGGAAAGAGATCGCGGCCAAGGCCAGCAGCCAGCAACCAGCGGACACAAACTGAACTTGAACCGCAGCTGAGAATATGGCAGACAGGCTCCGTAACCTTTAAATACTTTGCTTGAGGGTGGCTGTAAACAGGCCACTTGTGAGGCTAAAAACGAAAGCTGAAGTTGCTCACTGTGGCGGAGAGATGTGTGGTTACTCATTCGTGACATGGCGGACACCGGTGGTCCCCCAAGATACCAGCGTTAAGGGCCCCTTTTCTCTTTCCCTCTCTTTATTTCATGTTCTTTTAGCCGCCAGCGCGCAAACAACAGCTTACGCACTTGAAATCATTGCGAATGGGCATTTTGAGTGTGCAAGACATGCATTAGAATAAAAAAAAAATATTGTAATAATTCATAAATATTTATAAATTATGAAAAAAAGAAAAATTCCCGTGTCTTTGTTACCAAAACCAAGAGCTGCCAATCACGTATTATGCACCCTGAAAATACAATTGTGATCTCTCTCTCTCTCTCGCTCATTCTTTCTTTCTCTTCCAGTCTTCTCTCTCATCGATGAATAAAAACCCCATACGCCAAGCCTTCGCCAAACTCAAATATGCGCGCACCCACCCGCACATCTATGTGAAATGACATCTATTGGCACGGTGAATGAAACGGTGGATTAGACGTATACACATTTCAGAAGCTAGAACGAATCACGTTTCCTCTCCGTCACAATATCTCAACACAATCCGCGGGTAAAACGATTACACCGAAAATGTCAAACGGTGCAAGCCTTAAGAATGGACCGTGACACGAACCTGCGAGACTTTTAGGAAAGACACAGAGAGAGGAAGAAGACTTTAGGATGTTTTAAACTCATACTTATCTTGCTCATGAATATTAATAAGACTTTGCAGGTTTTAAAAAGGTGTGATCATAAAAAGTGTGAACTACAATGTAGCCTAAGTTACTATAGGGCCTATATTTAACACTCCCTCTAATGCAGTACATTAGATGTTACAGTTGTTATTAGGCCACCGGTTAACCGGCCGTCTAAATTTGTTACAGTTTTATGCTAAATTGACATAAACGACGAATGTAGATTAATATGAAGTTTTCGAGTGATTTCAAACATTGTTTCATCTGATCTTATTTAGGCTAAATGTAAGATGCAAACCTATTTATTGTCAATAACTTAAAATAATAATAATAATTCAGTCTTACTTAGGAGTAGAGCTTTGAAGTTTATGCTAAGAAAAAAAAAAGATTTTGCTGAAATTTCTGAAAAGTGTCATTGTTCTGTTTCTGTGCTCTGTTTCCCTCTCTTTATTTCATGTTCTTTTAGCCGCCAGCGCGCAAACAACAGCTTACGCACTTGAAATCATTGCGAATGGGCATTTTGAGTGTGCAAGACATGCATTAGAATAAAAAAAAAATATTGTAATAATTCATAAATATTTATAAATTATGAAAAAAAGAAAAATTCCCGTGTCTTTGTTACCAAAACCAAGAGCTGCCAATCACGTATTATGCACCCTGAAAATACAATTGTGATCTCTCTCTCTCTCTCGCTCATTCTTTCTTTCTCTTCCAGTCTTCTCTCTCATCGATGAATAAAAACCTCATACGCCAAGCCTTCGCCAAACTCAAATATGCGCGCACCCACCCGCACATCTATGTGAAATGACATCTATTGGCACGGTGAATGAAACGGTGGATTAAACGTATACACATTTCAGAAGCTAGAACGAATCACGTTTCCTCTCCGTCACAATATCTCAACACAATCCGCGGGTAAAACGATTACACCGAAAATGTCAAACGGTGCAAGCCTTAAGAATGGACCGTGACACGAACCTGCGAGACTTTTAGGAAAGAAACAGAGAGCAGGAAGACTTTAGGATGTGTTAGACTCATACTCATCTTTCTCATGAATATTAATAAGACTTTGCAGGTTTTAAAAACGTCTGATCATAAAAAATGTGAACTCAGAACTAAGTTATTATAGAGCTTATATTTAACGCAGTTTTATGCTAAATTGACATAAACGACGAATGCAGACTAATATAATACTATTGAACTACATACGTTTTTCGAGAGATTTCTAACAGTTTCATCTGTTCTTATTTAAATGTAAGATGCGAACTCTTAAATATTTATTATCAATAACTTAAAAAAAAAACTATTTCAGTCCTATTTAGAAGTAGAGGAAGTAGAGCTTTTAACTTTATGCTAAGAAAAAAAAATACTATGTATGTGTATATATATATATTAATTTTATTTATTTTTATTTTTTTAAGTGTCATATTGTTCACTTTCTGTGCTCTGAGTTTACCTGCTTGGTTGTTTGTTGTCGCCTGTTAAAAACCATCAGCATTTTTTTTTTAACATTTTTAAATATTTATAACTTCTAAATGTCTTAAAAAATAAATAATATGCATTATCAATGGGGCCTTAATTATAATAGGTTATGATAAGCTACGTGATTAACTTGAGTAAGTCATATGACAAAATAACAATTAATCTGTCATAATATGATCTGCATAGCCTGCAAGTTTATAAGCAAAATGATGAATAAAAAAACCGTCTCCTTAAAACGTTTTAATTCAGCAATCCTTAAAGCTTTTACTCAACGTTAGCCTACTTCATATTTATTACTTTCATATGTTTTTTTTCGATACAAGATCATATTTACATTTTAAAAATGAAAATGAGTATCTGTGATTTTAAATGCTGGCTTCTTTTCCAAAAACACTGATTTTACCCTGCATGACTGAAGGTAGTCCCTCGTTTCTTTCTTTCTTTTTTCTTTTTTCTCCAGGAGTGTGTTTGTTAAAGCACGCCTGGTGTCACGTCGCTTTGCTGGCGTTTGCTTCGCTCTGTTTGGAGCGGTTTAATCGGAGCGGCCGATAGCGGATCGTAATGGAGCAGCGTCTCTAATCGGGTTTATTTTCTGGATGGGGGAGCATGAATGTCTTTCAGCCGCTCTTGCTATTTCTAAACGGAACCTGCCTCGAAATCAATCAAAGCTCTAGGAACACTTCGATTTATAAGCCAGCCGTATTTGCAGAAGAAACGGAGAAAAGTCTTGGTCAGATCACATCTGAATAGCTTGTTTCGGTTAATCCCTAATGCAGACTTTTCTCTCTCTGTGACTGTGACACACACTTATACTCAAACGAACACACACACTTACTCTCCCATGCACACTCAAACACAAACTTGCACTATGCATAATTTAATTGTATGCATGCTTTGTAACTGTAAATCAGTGCTGGTAACTAGCTGCAGTTGAAAAAAAGTTTAGAAATAGATCAGATAAATTGAAGGTAATTTTAATCTAAAAATTCAGAGTGATGCATTTTAAGCTCTTCCTGAGGAAGAAACATTTTATACTCAAGTTTCAAAGTTTCAGTTTGATGTATTTCACTGTGTGTTTCTTCTGTAGTAGGTAGATACAAATATAGTTTCCTACCCATTTAAACAGTAGATTAAGCAAAAAATAAAAAATGCTGTTTTAAATAATTTATTAATTTAACAGAAGCTTAATTTAATAATTAACATTATTAATTTAAAAAATCAATTTAGCTAGCTGACTCAATAACTTCATGACTTTACTCAGAGGTGTTCAAATAATCAACTGTAACTGAAAGACACACAAGAAAGAAAGAAAAGAGAAAAGGAAACTAAAACATTAATAGGAAGTAGAAAAAAATAGGTTACATGAAGCCGAAAATGAAATGCGTAAAAAAAAAATCACAGTTTTACTAACACACCTCTCAGAAATCTAATAGGTCAAATCACTCACTAAAGGATTTTTATTTAATAGGAAAAAGCTCCTTTTTTTCTTCTTCAGCCCACCGCCTTGAGAGAATGAAAATGACATGTAGCTGGGTTTTAATTTTCTGTTAGCTGAACTTATGTATTTAGTGATGGGCACACAAGGCCAGTTAGGTCTGTTTGATATTGCCTTCTCGAATGTATTTAAGATCCATTACCCTGTAGCTTGGATTAACAGATACCCTCCAGTTCTTTTGTGTGTGTAAATGTGTGTGTGTGTGTGTGTTCCCCTTCTGAAGCAATCAGTATGTTAATATGACAGATTGACTGGATTACCACATAGACCTCTGCACTGAAATGATGATAAGATACTAATGAATATATATATATATATATATATATATACAGTACAAAGAGAAACAAAATTGGTATCCAAAAGTCTAAGCCCAACAAGGACATCCAGCCCACCGTGCAAAAAGACACACAACAAAGATTACAGACAGACAGACACACACACAAATACTAACTTGAGTGAAGAGGTCATGTGCAGTTCTCTAGGTGACCACCAGGGGCAGATAAGATAAAGAGGACAGGAAGAGACTGCATAATGGTAACCTTCAGGTCAAAGACACACACACACACACACACACACACACACACACACACACACTAAAATGAGACAGCAGCTCTTTTTTGCCCACTATGTGTCAGCTTCTGTATTTAAGGAAGATATGATTTGCTCAGGTTCATTTTATTGCTGTTTGTGTCTGCAGGGCATGGAGGGGTGAATCAGCTGGGTGGGGTGTTTGTGAACGGGCGGCCCTTGCCTGACGTGGTGAGGCAGAGGATAGTAGAGCTGGCCCATCAGGGCGTACGTCCGTGTGACATCTCCCGCCAGCTCCGGGTCAGCCACGGCTGCGTCAGCAAGATACTGGGCAGGTGAGTTCTGCTTCTCGTCAAGAAAAGTGAAGACGACTTTTGAGCTCACATCACTAACAAAACAGTACCAAAAATACCATAGTAGCCTACATATGTTTTTTTTTTTTAGAGAAGTACCTTGCATATAACATGTAATAAAAATAGTATTACCATGGTACATGTAGTATATGCTTACCATTCAGTATCACAATAGTACCACCAATTGTGTGGATTCCATTACGTCCATATTCTAATGCTGTATATATTATTTAAAACATTGATATATTATTTAAAATATTATTTCATACGCTAACATTCAAAAGTTTTGGGTCAGTAAGTTTTTTTTTTTTTTAATGTTTTTATTCAGCAAGGACACATTAAATTGATCAAAGTAAAGGCATTTCTAATGTTAAAAAAATCTATTTCAAATAAATGCTTTTCTATTTAACTCCTATTCATCAAAGAATCCTGACAAAATGTATCATGCTTTCCAAAAAATATTAAAACAGCACAACTTTTTTTCAGAATTGATAATAATGTATCCAGAGCAGCAAATCTTTCTTGAGCACCACTATCTAAAATTATTTCTGAAGGATCAGACACTGAAGACTTGGCAAAGCTGAATTTTCAGCTTTAAAATACATTTTATATTTGATTGATATATATATATACACTACCGGTCAAAAGTTTGGGATCAGAACGATTTTTAATGTTTTTTACAGGAGTTTCTTCTGCTCATCAAGGCTGCATTTACTTGATCAAAAATACAAGAAAAATGTTTATATTGTGAAAAATTATTATGATGTAAAATAATGTTTTTCTATTTTAATATACATTCAAATATAATTTTTTGAAAGAAATTAAAACTTTTATTCAGCAAGGATGTGTTAAATTGTTAAGAAGTGATAGCAAAGATTTATATTGTTAGATAATATTTATATTTTGATATAAATTTTTTTTATACTTTTTAACTTTTTATTCATCAAAGAATCCTGAAAAAAGTATCGCAGTTTCCAAAAAAATATTTGGCAGCACAACTGTTGCCAACATTGATAATTCTAATAATAAATCAGCATATTAGAATGATTTCTGAAGGATCATGTGACACTTTATACTGGAGTAATGGCTGATGGAAATTCAGCTTTGCATCACAAAAATAAATTATATTTTAAAGGATATTAAAATAGAAACCATTATTTTATATTGATATATATATATATATATAATTTTATTTTTTATTTGTATTAAAAATATATAGACAGAAGAGACATCTTTTAAAACAGTATTATAAAAAAATTGTGTAGCAGATTTTTTTTTTACTTCTCAAGCTGTAAACATTAGCATTTGAGTAGTACTATATTATAATTAAGAGACAATGAGTCTTGCAACTATTGGCAAACATGTGACTAGACATGCTGGACTTTTCATGTGTTAGTATAGATGTCAAATGACCTCAAAGAGGTCAAATAATATCTCAGTTTCTTGAGATATTATATGATTATTTCATAGAACAATCTATTGGCAATGTAATGTTGGTGAAATGTGTTTGTAGTCTGTGCTATCGGACACCATGGATTAGTTCCCACACACAGAGTTTGCCTAGTCTCAGTCTGAAAAGAATTTTGAATGGAGAATCTCTATTGCCAGTGCTATTTTATCCACAACTAGGCTTAGTCTTTGCCTGGGAAACCAGCTTAATGTCCTCTATTGCATTCAAACGGTGAGGCCAGTATGTGTTTGGAGTCTTGCCTTTACATGCTTTCCAACCCTCCTTCCGTACTTTCATCAATTCAACTTTAACTTAATCCATAATAAATATCAATTTCTGAAATATCCATACACTGATGAATGCTGTCCGTTCGCTTGATATTCCCTCTGCCGTCGGTTCAACTCGAGGCTGACTCAGCGCTTACCTTTCAAAGAAGACACGTTGAAATTCAAAAATTCGCACTGAAGCCAAAGTCAAAGCGCCGTCTTTTCTTTCTGTCCTTCTGGGACAAAAAAGAAAAGATTCATCACATTTTACATTTGCATCAAAATGACACTGGCACCATACGTCTGCCGAGGAGGGAGGGATGGCTGGAAGGACAGAGAGAAGGAGAGAGAGAGCAGGAAAGAGAGGAAGGGGTTAAGGGGGAGGACAGAATTTGAATGGATAAAGGTGTGGATTAGTGCTAGAGCCTTTAGCTATATCAAAAAAATGTGTTTCCCATTGTTCTCCTTTGCCTCAGCCCTCTTCCCCCAGCCCCGGTCCAACTCACTCAACCGTTACTGCGGCGCTCTGTGTGTGTGTGCGGTAATATCTTCCCTCCCTCTTACTGCTCAGGTAGAAAGCACACTAATATGTGGGCTGCAAGTGAGGTTTGAGTAAATAAGGCATATGACTAACTCTGCTCTCTTGGTAATGAGGGAATTTTCTGCACCTTCATTTTGGTGGGCATTTCATGCCTGTGCTTTATGAGCTTGCTTTTAGTTTATGTTTGTGTGTTGAACCTTAACTAAACTAAAGCAGTTAGTCACAAGAGTTGAATCAGAGCACCTAAAACCCCCTTAACCTTGGTAAAAATCACTACAATGCATAACCTTTTATGCTTTATAAAACACCAGCAAGAGCAAAATGTATATCATAATGTACACTACCATTCAAAGGGGTCAGTAAGATTTTATTATTTTGTAAGAAATTAATAATTTATTGAGCAAGGATACATCAAATTGATCAAAAGTGACAGTAAAAAAATAAAATAAAATATATATAAAACTGTCACTTTATATATATATATATACTGTATATTATGCTCCAAATTATTTCAAATAAATGCATTTTTTTAACTTTGTATTTATCAAATAACCCTGAAAAAAAAAATGTACCACAGTTTTCACAAAAATATTAAGCAACTGTTTCAACGTTTGCTGATAATAAATGTTTCTTGAGCACCAAATAAGCATATTAGAATAATTATTTGTTAATTATAATGATTATTTTAGATTTTTCAATAAATTTATTATTACTAATTAATTAAAATTAACGATATAATAGCAACAACTACAACTTAAACTAATAATTATTTCACCATGATCATTTGCTTAAATATAGGCTGTTTACACTTGCCAAGTATCTTAATACAGCATTAATACAGAGTGTGTGGTCACAGGTGTGCGTTTATCTGCATGGCTTTGAAGCGACTCATCCAATCAGAATTTAGACCAGGATCTGTTTTGGAATTCCTGTGTGTATGCCTAAAATATAAGCTTTGATGGTGCTCATTTGTGGCGGTTTTTTGTAAATAGGCTGAACAGATTGATGTTTTTTTGCAGGTTTGTGAAAGGTATGCGTTGTTCTCTGCGTCTGTGTGATTAGTAAGCAACTGTGCGCTGACTGCAAGATTCTACAGACCTACGGCGCTGGATAAGCATATGTTCTAACTCTCTGTATATCTTGCCTGGTGATGTACAGCTCTCTATCTCTGCTCCTCAGGTACTATGAGACAGGCAGCATCAGACCAGGGGTGATCGGAGGCTCCAAACCAAAGGTTGCTACACCCAAAGTCGTTGACAAAATCGCTGATTACAAACGCCAAAACCCCACCATGTTTGCCTGGGAGATCCGAGACAGACTGCTGGCAGAGAGAGTGTGTGACAATGACAGCGTGCCCAGCGTCAGCTCAATCAACAGGTGTGTGTGTGCGCACTGGAAAAATCAGCAATTTAACCTTACACAAAATTTCTGTCTACTTGATTTTTCACAGTGTCAGTGGAAGATTGAACTTTTTAAGATTAATAATTCACTCTAAAATAGTTTAGAGTGTGTGCATGAAGTTTACTTGTGTACACTACTTTTCAAAAGTTTGGGGTCAGGAAGATTTATTTATTTATTTTTATCTGGAAGATAAAGGACAAGTAAAGCCATTTACTGAAAAAAAAAACATTTCAAATAAATGCTGTTCTTTTTATCTTTCTATTGATGAAAGAATCCTGACAAAAATGTAGTTTCCACAAAAATATGAAGCAGCATAATCGTTTTCTACATTGATAATACTAAATGTTTCTTGAGCAGCAAATCAGCATATTAGAATGATTTCTGAAGATCATGTGACACTGAAGACTGGAGTAATGATGCTGAAAACTCAACTTTGATCACAGGAATAAATGACATTTTACAATATATTAAAAAAGAAAACAGTTGTTTTAAATTGTAATAATATTTGACAATATTACAGATAAAAAAAATTTTTTCAAATAAATGCATCCTTGGTGAGTATAACAGACTTTCAAAACATGTAAAAATGTTGACCACAAACTTTTGGATGGCACTGTAAATGTCCACAAACCATTAAGTTTTTGAGAACTAGCTGATCAGTAGATTAGAAAAGGGACAGAGCAATGCATAGAGAAGAGATAGAAAGAATAGAGGGAGAGAGACGTGGATAAAGGAAAACAATGGGAAAAAGAAACACATATTCATGTCTGCTGCTATGTCAGCCTGCATGAGCCACTTCACACACACACACACACACACACACACACACACACACACACACGCACGCACTTACACACACACACCAAACAACACTGGACCCCATTGACTTTCAATGAATCTTTTTTGCTTTTCACAGGAGAAAAAAAAAAGTCATGCAGGTTTGTGCAACATGAGGATAAATAAATAATAAATTATTAATAATTTTTGGGTGAACTTTCCTTTAAAATGACACGTACACTACTGTTCAAATTACAGTTTGGGGGTTGGTAAAATTTTTAATGTTTTTGAAAGAGTCTCTTCTGCTCACCAAGGCTGCATTTATTT